GGAAAAACCATGAGAAACGGCCCAGAACCCGAGAAATGGGACCCCTTGCCCGTTGATTTGAGCATTGATGCGACTCTCATCGCTGTGCCCTCTTCAACACTACGCTCTCTCACCTATCTAATCACTCGCCACGTATAGACCTGCGGCGAGTGATCAGATGATCGGTGGGCGTGCACTGGCCCACCGCGCCGGGATTTCGCCTCCGATACTCTACGACGAAACCTACGTTTTGTCCTTCACACAACTACATTACGGAGAATAAGGCTTTATCGTTTTACGTTCGTGTCGCAATTCGGTCCACGAATGACCGTTCCATACAAGGAAACAAATATGTACGTACAGAAAAACAACAAGGGAGCTTCTGACTCCGCCTCCATACAAGGAAACAAATATGTACGTACAGAAAAACAACAAAGGGGCTTCTGACTCCCTCGGTTTCAAAACAATAGTGCATAAATACCTTATACTGTCGTTAGGAAACAATTAACATGTGGCGCACCGTTCTGTGCGAATGAGCCTGAGAAATTGTATAAAGGAGATATAAGCGAAGAAACAGGGATAAATTATACCGATGAATAACCGAGTATCTGATTAGGGAATGGACCTTACGTCTCCCGTAATATGCTTATGCGGTGGCTGGCAAAAAAACAGAAAACAACAGTCAGCTACCCATTACCTGAGATGAAAACTTAACCGAACGACGATGAGACCTAGAAACGGTATGCATAACAACGCTCTAGGAGCAAACATTGCAATGAAGCCAACTTGAGCCGGTCACTGCTATATACAAAGTAGAGGACAACGAATATCTGGCAACGAAAAATAAGCGACATAACCCTGTACACAATGTGGAGAGCCCTTCTGGGCTACGATGGAGGACCTTTCGGCCCTTATAATGAACGACGTAACGCTGTACAAAATACAGAGAGCCCTTATGGGCCAATATAAAAGACATTCTGGCCTATACGGCGAGGAAAAACAACACTGTACACAATGTTAACAAATAGCTCATGGAAAAAAAACAAATGGGTTCTAGGTGAAGACCAATAATAGCAGCAGAACCACAACAAAAACCGAAACAATGTAACATGACACATGAATATAACACCAATTGGCCGACTCTGGACTGCCTCCGATCCGCTCCTCGAGATTCCTTCCATGATTGGGAGATTCCCTGCTGCGTTTCTGCCTTTCTGTCGACGACTCTGGAACATATAAAGAGTCGTTCCCCGGGTCTACAGGGGGGAAGGTTCTACATAATTTTTGAACCCTTGGAAGGATTTCCACCGACCCGCTAGCATTATTTTGCCTGAATCCACCCCCCGCCGAATGGCGTGCGTGGCAGCGCCCCCTCTAAATGAATGAGAGGTCAATTTTTTGTGCTGTAAACCTGCGGCCTTAACGATTTTCTTAATATTTTTGGCCACATAATCCCTGGAAGGGGGGTTTTCTGCTTCGCTGCTGAAGAGAAACTTATGGGGTAGCAGCGGTCTTTTTAAGCGGCAGAAGGCCTGCCACAGCTTGGTCTCTTGGAGGCCCCATTTGGCTGCCACTGTTTCCCCTTGCCCTTGCTGGTCAGTTTTGGACCTGCTGATAAATATATGCCAGATCCCGTCCCCTTGGTACAGGAAGTCCCGGAATCGGAGCTGTCTGACCTCTCCGACTCGCAAAAGCGCGGAAAAAGCCAACATGACGCTAGTTGCGGCGCTGACATATGCCGGGGAGCTGTTGTTAAGGCCAAGCTCTATTATGCGGTCTACGTCCTCCTTAGAGGCCTTGATGCGATGTTTGACGGGGGCCCTGGATCTGGCAGCCGCTCTAAGTAACGCTTTGAGGATATCAGCGTCATCCTCCGGGAGGGGCCCAAAAAAATGGGAAAGCGCGGATACATGATATCCCAAAGACCGGTCCTGGCCCTCCTGTATAAGTTGCGCTATAAAGATATTCCGAAGCTTGGCAAGCTCCGACGCCGGAACCCTTAAGGACTTGCTGAACTTAAGGAAGCGGGACTTGACTCTTTTATATATTCTCAAAGTCCCAGGCGCCACCGACTGGTCGATACAAGTTTGTATGACCTGGGCTACCTCTCCCAGCCCTCTTTCTTCGGCCAGGCGGGCTGTCGAAGAGGCTGCTGCGAAGCGCGAAGCTGGGAGAGGATCTGAAACATGCTAATAGGTTTTATGACTATTTGTTTTCGTAGGGCGGGAGGGTTGGGCGCTACGAAAACGAAAGCCGGGATGCGGAGGGGTCTCTCGCCCCTCCCACGCGGCCTGGCCGCTACGCGACCGCGTCGCTCGGTCCCGTTCCTACGGGACCCGCCTGGCGGCGAAGAGTTGTGTGAATTTCAAAACTCCATTTTCGTCTCCGATACTCTACGACGAAACCTACGTTTTGTCCTTCACACAACTACATTACGGAACAGTTTAAAGCCCGGAGGGGGTTAGAAAGAGAGAAGAGCGAAGGCAAAATCGAAATTCCGAGGAGAGGGCGAGCCGAACGTGTAGGACGGGGAAAAGCCGTCTAATACTGGAGAACTGCTGGGAAAAAACCTTATACTTTTCAGCTCCGGAATCCAAGAATCATTTTGTCTAAGCAACGGGAAAAAAAGGTTTGAGGGCCACATTGGGAACCCCCAAAATCCCCCTACTACGATGCAATTTGGCCCAGGCCAAAGTTTTAGGAATGAGATGAGGAGGAGGAACCACACCAACAGAAATGGGAAGAATTCCACCAGATGGTTGATTCACTTGAAAACGCATCGATTCCACTCGACTCTTCCTCGCAAGCAAGCCTGGAAATGAACTTTTTGCACTTCGTTGAGACTGAACTGGCAAACATATCCACTGTGCATTCTCCCAAGAGCTATTGAGCTCCAAAAAAATATGCCTGGAGATGCTCCAATCGTCTAAGTCTACAAATCTAGACGCTTCGTCCGCTTCGGAATTTAGAGCTCCTAGGAATCCACACAAATTCCACGTTAGAAAAGAGGATCTCACATAAATCCCAAATTTGACGGGCCAATTCTTGTAAATCGGCTTTTATGCTCCCCTTCTTCAGGATACTGACCGCGCACTGACTGTCACAGTGCCATAGACAGGATTGGAAGGGGACAAATCCCGAAAATGCCCTAAGACTGGCCAGTATGCCAAATAACTCCCTGGATGTGGAAGACGAGCCTAAGAAAGAGGAGGGGAGCAGGGAGGACGTTGTGATTTTAGAGCCCGAGTCTAAATGTAAAATGGCCCCTGATGCAAACTCTGAGGCATCTGAAAAGGCCACAAGAGAATGATAAGGAACTAACTTGGGAATGTCTATCGGAACTCCTTTAAAAGAGGATTCGAAGTCTAACCAATCAGATAACTCACTTCTTTCTTCCCCTGACAGTTTCCAACGGAACGATAATGCGCATTGCTCTGTTTGCATACGAGCCACTTGGGTGACGATGGTCTTCCACTTTCTTTTCAAATCTGAAGGAATCACCAAGTACATTGAGGCGATATGACCCAGCCATTTGAATCTATCTAGTAGAGATGTCCCTCTACTTTTCAGAAGCTTCATGGCTAAAGCTCGGGTTTTCTCTCTCCTCTCCGCGGTTACGTCTAAGGTAAAGTTGTTTAAGTCAATTTCGTGGCCTAACCACGTGATTCTTTGGGTTGGGGTCCAATTGCATTTTTCCTCCGCACAGGAGACTCCCGCTGAGTTCAGGTCCCGTTTGATTATGTTTACATATTCCTCACAAAGCTGTGCCGACTTTGCCCAAATAAGGCCGTCGTCAAGATAAAGTGCCACTGATAAACCTTTTTCTCTCCATTTTCTCAAAAGTGGCCGGAACGTCTTAGTGAATACGAAAGGAGCCGGAGCTAACCCAAACGGAAGGACCAGAAATTTGAAGTATTTCTGTCGCCATTCAAAGCCCAAAAATCTTGTGAAATCGGGGTGCATTTTCACGTGATGGTAACCCGACTTAAAATCAAATGAGGCCATATAACCACCTTGGGGGAGGAGAGGCAAAACCTTGGCCACGTCTTCAAACTTCACTTTAGACTTGTGAAGCTTCTTATTGAGACAGGACAGGTCTAAAATAAGGCGCAATTTCTTACCGACTGCTACTGAGATAGGATTTATTCGTAAATTGCCGTGGTCCTCGACCTCTTGAATCGCCTTGCTGTGAACCAATTTACTGATTTCCGAATCTACAAAATCGGCATATTGGTATGCTGATGTAGCATTGTCCTTAATGAAACCCAGTTCCGGTTGACTGAAGTACCGTGGCAAAAACCCGTGTTGCAGGACTGATTTATTTAGCTCCGAAAGGTCCAGGTTCAACCAGAACTGGATATTGCGGTGAATGCCACCTGCTAAGAACTCACCTTCCTTGTTTTGCTTGACACTGAGCCCGTAAGTGACCGAACGCTCCACATTCGAAGCACATGGGCCTTTCCAAACGAGATCCTTGAGAAAATTTGCTGACGGACGATCCCATTTGGCCACGACCCCTGCCTCTGTTGAAGTAAGGCGAGTACGCGCTGGAAGGAGGAGCGAGTGCCCAGGTCGCTCCTCCCTGCCGAAAGGGCTGATAGCCCTTCGCCGCGTAGGGATGGGGACGTGTCCAGCTGGTTTTCTTCACTGTCTCCTTTTTCTCTACTTTCTTATCCATCTTCAGAAACTCGGCCAAAATAGAGTTTGAAACCTCAAACTTTTGAGCTTTGCTGTGTCGATCAAAGAATTCCCACACCGTGGGATCCTTGTCCGCTACAACTAGAAGCTCGTTCCGCTGTGTCAGAGCCGTTATGGCTTGAATTAGAGTTGCTTGGACTCCCATCTCCGGTGGGGCAATTTCCGCGATTGGCGTAATCATCCTCAGTATTTCCGTGTTGAATTCAAATTGCTTTTGAAGGTTCGCCTTCGTAAAAGTAGGGGTAGTCGACGAGCCAGCTACAGGAGCCAATGTGACAGCAGCTGTAGGCACTACCGGGTCCGTACGGGTAGCTGGCTTAGCCAACATTGCGTCGATCTCCTCTCTGGATATGCGCTGTGGCGCTGCTGCCGGAGCCGTTGGGGCAGGGACTGTCGGGGCTGATTGGGTAGTTGATCTGGCTAACAGCTCCTCAAAGTCCGCTCTGGATAGAGTGACCTCACCGTTGGGTTGCGGGTTCGAATCGTTATTCTGATTGGAATCCATTTTACTGGAAGGATTTTTGAATCAGCAAACAAGTAAATGATATCAATTATGATTGTTGAGAGGGTTAAACTAACTTTAATCACCCAAGAATTAGCTATAGCTGCTCGAATATCTTGACTCCAGAAAGCCTGACAAAAAAGGATAACGTCCTTTCAATCTTGACAAGAACAACTTGCTCTTTCACAACTTCACTCTAAAAACGAAACGACCGGCACGATAAAAATTCTTTTGTTATGAAAACAGCCTAACTGAATACTTTG